GCTAGGGTTCCCTCCCCACCCCCACCCTCGCTTTTTTTTGTGTGTGAGATGCAGTTTGGCTCTTTTAGTCCAGGCCGGAGTGCAATAGCGTGATCTCGGCTCACTACAGCCTCTGTGTCTCAGGTTCAAGCGATTCTCCTGCCTCGGCCTCCTGAATAGCTGGGATTACAGGCACACATCACCACGCCCGGCTAATTTTTTGTATTTTTAGTAGAGCCGGGGTTTCACGATGTTAGCCTGGATGGTCTCGATCTGATTTGTCTGCCTTGGCCTCCCAAAGTGTTGGGATTACAGGCATAAGCCACTGCACCCGGCTTGTTTTTCATTCTTTTGGGTGTATACCCAGAAATGGAATTCACGGGTCCTATGATAATTCTGTGTTGAGTATCTTTTTTTTTTTTTTTTTTTTTTTTTTTTGGAGACAGGGACTTACTCTGTCACTGGCTGGAGGGCAGTGGTGTGATCACAACTCACTACAGCCGCTACCTCCTGGGCTCTAGTGATCCTCCCACGTCTGCCTCCCAAGTAGCTGGGACTATGGGACTGTAGGCGTGCTTCACCACCCCCAGCTCATCTTCTTTTTTTTTTTTTTTTTTTTTTTGTGGTGATGGGGTCTCCTTAGGTTGCCCAGGCTGGTCTCAAACTCCTGGGCTTCAGTGATCCTCCCAGGTCAGCCTCCCAAGAAGCCGGGACTACAGCAGCCATACACTGTCACGCCCAGCTAACTTTTGTATTTTTTTTGTGGTGATGGGGTTTCACCATGTTGCTCAGGCTGATCTCAAACTCCTGAGCCCAAGCGATCTTCCCGCCTCAGCCTCCCAAAATGCTGAGGTTCCGGGTGTGAGCCACCACGTCCTGCCCTCCGTTCAGTTTCTTGAGGACACATCGCTGTTTCTGTAGTCACTTCGAAGTTCTTCATTCCCACCAGCGGTTTACAAAGGGTTTCACTTTGCCCACATCCTCACCAACAGTTGCTGCTTTCTGTTTCTTGGAAATTAGCCGTCCTGGGGGGTTGTTTTTCAGTGGAGTCTCTTTTTTGCCTCTGCGGAGGGTTCACCCAGCCTTCTTGTCTGTTTCAGGACCATGGGAATTTTTTCACATACACAGGTAGTGGTGGCCGAGACCTTTCCGGCAACAAGAGGACCGCGGAACAGTCCTGTGATCAGAAACTCACCAACACCAACAGGTTCGTGGAATCGGCCTTCCGACTTCCTCGCCGGCACACGTCGGCAGTCCTTGGTTCTGTTTTGGGCCTCATGTCCAGCAAGTGATAGTCTTGTTGGGAGCGCGGTGGAACATAGAGATGGCCTCCGTTTGGTTCCTCCCTTGTCTTTTTTTTTTTTTTTTTTG